GAGAACTTTAGTGCTGCAAGTAGAGTTGCTGCCTCCACATTATTCTTTTCATTATGATGTGGATTGCACATAGTAGGAATTCATTGACAAGATCTGGCTGGACCGCCTTGAAAGATGGGGCCTCTCATGATCCCCAGTGAAAGGAAGCAGTGCAGGTTTCTCCACAGTGCTCCAGCAGCATGCCCAAAGCCTCAGTTCAGAGAATAATTGTGTGCTCAGTGTGACCACTTGTTACTTGAACTCTGCCAAGACCAGTGCTAGGACAGGACTGTGGCATTTGGCACAGGATGTGCACGCCCCAGAGTTTAATCAGCGAAAGCCACACATTGTCGGTGTGGTCCATTGCCATTTGAAAGTATCAAGGGTTTTGCAAACACACTAGTCCAGAGCTCCCCCTTCTTTTCATGCAGCTACTTTTATCTGGTATCAAGGGGGCTGAAAAGATGTGTGATGCAGCTTTGGTTATGAGAGCTTGAGACAGGGGTGTTACAAAGAAATCTGGACGCTACGTCCAATGTCCCCTACATGGTTTCAAGATAACCTAAACCAACAACCACATGCCATATATTCATTTAAATGGAAATGTTTAACTGAATACTCATTAGTAATATTTTTTATGACAGCAGTGATTAAGAGTCATTACAGTAACTTTTTTTTCTTCATTTACTGATCACAGAATCATAGAATCACAGAATGCTTTGGGTTGGAAGGGACCTTGAGAGATCATCGAGCCCAACTCCCCTGCAGTAAGCAGGGATTGAACCTGTGAACTTGGCATTATTAGCACCATGCTCTAACCAACTGAGCTAACCCAGATGTTCTCACTGTTTTAATTATTGCTTATCCTAATTTTCTATGTGGCTGCAGAGAGGTTTAATATTTTATCAAAATAAAGGTTTTGTGAGAGTGTGTTAATAGGGCAAATTTTCCTGCTTTTTACAAACAAATGTATGTAAGAATGAACCCCGTGAAACTCCATTGCTTATACATTGAATCTAATCTGTGCCTTTGGAAGTAGCTAAGATCTGTAAGTTTCTATTCTATTTTTCATTAAAATAAGGACTTTTTTTTGCTCATCTTTCTGTGGTTTCCTCTTTGTCATGACAAGGATGTGGGTCTTGGTACAGCTTTTAGACTCGATGACTTTTTGTGAAATTAGTGGCTAACTTTCAATGCACATTTCACAGCTGATTTCAAGGGCTTTGAAGCAACCCGTGCCACCTTGAATTGAATTACAGTTAAATTTAATATACTTGCAATCTGCTAGGTATTGATTATTAAACATTATTAATAAATCCAAACAGTGCTTCATCAGATGATTGTGGGGTTGTAAACATACTGGGATGGAGGTGTCTGAACCATCTGCTAGATCATCAATGAGATGAGGATCAATTTTGGAAACTGGTAAATCATAATTAAAAGATGTAACAGACACATTAAAAGAACTTGCTGTAATTTGTCTGACTATGGTGAACTGACCTATTCAGACTTCTAAAGAGTCTTCTGAGTTTATCTTTATTTCTCTTTGGCAAGTAACCAAGAAAATTATCTTGAAAATCTGATGGCTTGCTTTGTTTTAATTCTGTTTTCTAAATGTTTCTTCCTGATGCCAGATTGAATTGCCCAAAAGGAAGGTTACTTTTACAGCTTGCTAGATGGAAGGCAGTTCTGTAGTCAGAAGATAAAACAAAGACTTTGACTAGGATCTGTGGAGGCAATCCATGCTCCAAACATATCACCGCACTTTCAGGAAACAACCATGGCTGACAATAGATACTGCCACCATCTGTACGGAGAGCTAGAAGTTTGTTTAAAAAAAAAAGATTCCTACATTGAACATACAGTGCATTAGATGTACAGCCAAAACAAGTACAAAACATCAGCGACTACTGCCCAGTACAAGCGCAGAACGTAAGGACTAAAGCTAACTGGTATCTGTATCCCTGTGTGATGTGCGAATACAAGTTGTCAGCCCCCTCTATTGGATAGAGAGCCATCACCCGTATGTCAGCACCGTACACTCTACGTCACCATCATACATCACATGTCAGTGCCATGTGTCATGTCTTTGCATGGCATGGTCAACCTTACGGGCTGCTCTCTATGCCCAAATATGACTATGTGACAGGCGATGAGCAAGTCATACTTCTCAGCAAATAATCCTTAAGAAATATCATTTACCTGGAAGACCTCAGTAAAAACAGAGATAGATGCAAATGTCTGACAGAGAAGTCAGCTCAGCAGAGACCAAGCTGCAAAGAGCAAGAGTAGATAGGAGCCCCGCCCTGGCCAAGGGCAGAAGGATTACTGGAGCAGGACTCCTTTAATCCACTCAGAAATTTCCAGTAAGGATAAAAACAGATAGTATGAGACAGCTGGTCTGGTACAAGAAGCCAGTATTTGGAAACTGGGAGGTAACGTGCAAGGGGACACCTCACAGGCACCTAGAGATTAGTGTTGAGGTGTGACAGGTTAGAAGAGACAAGACTAGATTTCTCTTACTGAAGGAAAGTGGAATTGCAAATGCTGTGCTGGAAACAACTGGAATCTATAGTAAACTCTGCCACAAGCTGCTGAATATGAGGTCCTCTCAGTCTAGTGAGAATTTGTTTCTGTCTTAATTTTGTCAGGCTTTGTGGGTGTCTGTTCTTGTTATGTTACATGAATGTTATACATTCAAAAATGTACCTGGAGCTACTCTCTGTGGCTTTCCTGTTTTCAGCTCAGTTCTGAGAATGAGCCCAGCAGTGGTTTCAGCAGCGAGTGACACCAGTGGTCACCTTGTTTAGCCACACTCACCCTCTCACCCTTTCCTGGACCTTTGCCTAACCCCGGCTGCAGAACCAGTCATCCTTCCACCATGGGCTTTAATGGGTGCTAATAAAATGTGGAATTGCGGGGCATTTTGCAGCCCTGCTGCAAAACTCCTACCAGGCTCCCTGGCCCATACTGCCCCTCACCCAGAGGGACAGGTGGGCAGGCACTCTCTCAAGACACAGGGATTTCAACGCTAGCAAAGACTTCCCTCCTGTTGCATGTGGAGGGAATAAAGTTTCTGCTCGCCCCAGGGTGGACAGAAAATGAGTCAAGGTTACTGCTCAGCTCGCTGCTCCTGCACCTCCCCGGGGACAGGCCAAGGCCAGGCCGGGACGTCGGCCTGTGGGTAGGCCCAGCTCAGCAGGGCCCATGGCGGGGCAGGGCCAGGCTGAGGAGAGCTGGAGACCGGCCCTGCTGCGGTGTTGCTGGGGCAGGGGCTGGTGGCCCCGGGGGCTGACATGGGTCCTGGGCCGTGGGTGGGTGGGTGGAGGAGCCCCAGGGGCTGGGCAGGGGCAGTCGGGCCTGGGGGTGCCCTGGGGGCCTGGCAGTAATGCCTTTCCGCCTGCTATGACACCCGTAAAAGAAAAAAAATTGCTGTAAATTACGTAAACTCATTACAGGAGATCACACATGCGCACACACACAAAGCCCAATATCTGAACTGGAATTAACTTGCTGGGTTATGGTTTCCAGATTCTATCACTCATTATTTCCCATCAGTGACTGAGATACGGCCACTGTTCACATGAACAGAGCACATGAAGTCTTTGCCTCTGAGAGGATAAACACCAATTAGTTGTTACTGGCCTGCAGGGTGTGAAAAATCTCCTGTGGGATGGGTGGAAGGATATCCTTGATGTCATTTACTTTACAAAGGTGAAAGGGACTAATTTGTGTTTGCAAAATCCTCTGAGACCCCCAGCTCAAAAGTGTTAACAGCGGTATATTATTCTTCCCACTTTGATAATGCTTCCCCTTTTTTTTCCCAGTTTCTGTCTGCGTTCCATGCCTGAGCCAATTCTCACTGGCATCTCTTAAGATCTTCCCATGACCTTCAGTGAGAATTGGATCAAGCCCCATACATCACGTCGGCAGGTTTTATTGCACTGTGGCCGACTACCAACCCAGCTTTGCGGTGCCCATTTGCTACTTTTATCTGCATAGCCTTTATGAGACAGGGCTTGCTCTGCTCAGCACAGTGGCACGGCTGCTGGTCAATAATCAAGGCCAGTATGTTGATGCATTGGAGTTATTTATTCATGCCTCTGCAACAGCCCAAAGTTTACAGTATTTGGTACATATTAATGCAATAAGCAAAGAAGCAGAGAAAAAATGCAGATGCTTACTTCTAGACTGTTGGCAAAAAAAGACCTTGAGAGTATTTGGAAGATAATGAAAATACACCACGCTAACCACAGGCTTCTTCAGAAACACAGCAGGTCCTTCCATTAGTAGAACTCTGTTGAAATCCATAGCAAAATTCCTGTTTGTTTTGACAGATGTTAGATAGGCACCATGTTAGAGAAGTATAATTACTCCCACTAAAATCAGTATTTATACTTTTTTCAACAGACCATTCACTGAAAGGGTAAGAGCATGAACCAAGCTGTAGGAAGAGATGATTTTGTTGATTTGATAACCAAAAAAAAAAAAAAAAAAAAATTTCTCTCATAATGGAAGATTAATTGGAAAAATGTTTATCTGTTTAATACTTTAACTCTTTGAAAATTAATTTAGTTAAGTATTTAGTAATGGAGAATTGAAGTATTTGGGTTTGAGTAACGTCACAGCAAAATATTTGAACACTTAAGGCTTTCATTCTTTCTCATTCAGCAGACATCTAATTCACTATCAGTCTGAAATTGAATTTTTCTGCAAGCACACATTCAAAAATGTTGCCTCATCCTGGGCACAATGAATAAGGTGAGCAGTACTTTCCCATCACACTAAGATGTAGGGTGAAGTCCAATAGAAATTGTGTTATCCAAGAGGCAATTTCCAACTAAAGATAAATAAACATGTTATCTGTACAAAGGGGAATATTTTGAACTGTTCTTACAAAGCTGTGGTGGTGTTAGTAAAACTGTGAAGCTGGGAGGTACTTCTTAAAGGTGGCGCACTAGAGCAGCAGCATCTAGTTCTAATGCACAGCAACAGTATTTATTGAAACTGTCTTGCCTGTCTCATGGATCTCCGTAAAGGGAAATTATTTTTTTTATCCAGTTAATATATGTTTCAGTCAGTCGTGTATAAACTCCAGGCATGTCTCCAGGCATGCCTCTGTTTCCACATCTTCTTCCAAAAGAAACAATCCCACTGTATTGACTGGCACAGATTAATGGTCCACCTGAATCTCCCTAGAATGCAAAATAGAAGTAACTATCAGTATGTGTTCGTTGCTCTCTAGAGGAGCATGCAGTGCCACCTGCAGTGCATAAGCATGTTTGAAAGTTGCTTCTAATTTGTTCCAACCCATGAAATGGATCAGTTGGCTTACGTCACTTCATGGGAGTTGGGTGGGGTATAAGGAGCAGTTGCTTTTAAAGCCTGAGGAGCCTTTGATGTAAATGTTGTAGACCAGCACAGTGCTATCATAATTCTATTTCAAAAGGTATTTTTTTATTGTTGGTATAAATTGATTCTCACTGCTTTAGCAACTGGCCCTTCTGGACTCACACAGAAGAGAAGAAACGCAAGATCCAAACAGCACTTTTGAGTGTACAGTTAATTCTGTACTATTCAGATGTTCACATCTGGAAAGGATCAGATGATTCAGACCCTGAAAGCTCTTTGTTTTCTCTGATAACTACAGGTGGTGACTAAGGAGAGTGCCTTAGCTAAAGAAATGCACCTGAAGTTAACTGAGATAATCCCGGACTCAAAGTCCCATACTTGCAATCTTGTTGTGTACATTGACCTAAACCACTCAAAGTTATAATGCTTCTTTTTCACAGCAATAAAGTTTCTTGCAAATGTGGTTAAAATCACTGTGAATCTGATCAGCCTCATTAAGTGTCCAGCACTGCTTTGTTCCCAGTGAAAAGGAAACCATTGTTAAAAGCACATCCCCTCCTCTTTGTAACTTTGCTTCTTACCTGGCAAGTATC